TGTGGAGAACCTTGGATGACCCTCACACGAAATGTATACTGTGCCTCGGAAGATTAGCTAAGTAATTAGGTTGACACATTAGGCGTCGTCCGCAAGACGTCTTTGAACTGCACATCTGGAACTTGAAGATCAAATGCTATGCTTTAAACTATGTTTAAAGTCACCCAGCATTCACTTCAGGACTTTAAACGCATCGTGGTAAATGCTTACAAGCGACTCCTGAATTGTCTTCATGTGGACGTGTCCCAGTAACGCGAAGGCACGTCCCTCTCAGCCGTCCTTTCTGGGATCCTCTCTTCCAGACTCTCAGTTTTGGAATGTTCTGGGGCTGAGCCCTCTGCTCTCTACCCAGGCAGTCTCAGGCCCGTGTCTCTAAACGGCACGCAGATACTGGTCCTTCCCATGTGTATGTTTCCAGCCCCGAACTCTCCCCTGAACTACAGACTGCCCACTTGCTCTCTGCCCGGACGTCTCGCAGCGGTTCTCATGTGACGTGCACAGACCAGAGCTCGTGGTTCTCCGCCTCACCCACCGCCTCACCGGCTCCTCTCGGGGTGCCCACAGCAGGAAATAATGCCGTTTTTGATCTAAGCGTTCAGGCTCATCCCTGACTCCTCCCCCAACCCACGCCCGATGTATCCGTAAGTCCTCTGGGGCTTGCTTTTTGATGTATCCCCTCCTCTCTGGCACTTGTTCCGGGCCACCACCGTCTCTCCCTGGACTGCCGAGGCCCCCTCCTTCCTAACTGGTTTTTTGGTTTCCACCCTTGCCTCACGATCCATCTGATCGGCATTCATTAGATCAAATCAGGCCTGTTCACGATTGTCAGATAGCTTCCTGTCACAGTGTGAGGTCAGCCCAGAGTCCTTGCCGTGGCCTGTGGCGCCCTGTACTCTGGCCCCCGAGCAGGCTTTCGAGCTTTTCCTTCAAGTGTTCTTGGAACATGCCAGGTGCACTCCTGCCTCAGGGCCTGTGCTCTGGCCGTTCCGTCTGCCTGGAGCGTTCGCTCCCCCGGGCGTGGGGTGCGCCTCCCGAGAGCCCGGGTCAGAAGCCGCGTCCGTCATTTGCTGGTTACGTACCTTGGAAAGTTGCTCGCCCCTCCTCCTCGTAAGTGGGTTTTCTCATCGGAGAAGTGGAGCCAGCATCTGGGCCGTTGTGCGGTCCTGACGGGAAGCCCGGCGATGCCAAGGGCCGGGGAACCAAAGCTCTCGTGTGCGTTTGTGCCCTGACTCCTCCAGGTCCGGTTTGCATGGCACTCGGGGGCCACTCCCACCTTTCCCGTCACTCTCCCCCCACTGTCCCCTCAGCCCAGCCTTTGCGTTTCCCTTCTTCTAACGTGGCACTTACTTGCTGCTTTTCTGTGATCTTTTCCCTCGTCGGGAGGTAAGCTCCTGTCGGCCACTATTTCACCAGAGCCCAGGAGGCCTCCTGGCACACAGCTGAGGCCCACCGATTTTTGTGGACTGAGCGATGAAAGGCACATATTGGGTACGGACTCAGCCTCTTATTGGAGAGGGGTGTGCTTCTCGGAGAGCTCAGAGGGCACAAGCAGATAGCCCTGGTGGCCCTCCCGAGCCCCTCCCACTCAGGGTAGAGGCCACAGTGAGCCAGCTGCTTGTCGGGCTGGGGGCCTCTGTCTCTGCAAGTCAGGAGCTGTAAGGGGCAGGAGGCCACCGATCCCGAAGGCCTGGAGAGCTGGTGGAAGATGTGGGCTCCTGTCCCTCTTCTGACACCGCTGTGGTCCAAGCAGAGCAGAGATTGTGGGACCCCTTTACGGTTGCCCATTGACCGTCTGCTGGGTGTTGACTGTTAGGTTCCTTTTGCGTAGCCGGAGAGGAAGGGGGGTAGGGTACGGTGCCGGTAAGCAGGCGTGGGTTTGGGCATGGTGTTGAGCGTTTGGCCAAAGTTGCTAGGCCCCAGCATGGGGCATGTGGGAGAGGAAGGTGGGAAAGGTAACTTGGGGACCAGACTCTGCAGGGCCTTGAATGCCAGTCCGGGCACTTGAGAATTCCTCCTGTAGGTATCCCAGGAAGCCTCAACATTTTAAGAAGTGTTCTCCACGCATATTTACGCTTTTCCCAAGTATTCCAAATACCATGAAGTAAGCGGCGGAGGAGAAAATTAATTTCTGTTCACTTTAAAAAAGTAGTCTCGGTCTCAGTTCCAAGTGGAATTATACATTTAGGGGTGTGGGCTCTCTCCCCTTCACGTCCCTTGGGCTACATTTAATTCCTGGCCCAGTCCTGACTTTGAAAAGAACAACAAATGAAGAGCTTCTTCAGAAGGCCGGGTGCTGGTTAGCGGAGAGGGGCCTGCTGTGGCTGCCCTTCTCGACCGAACTAGCAGGCCCGGTGGAGGTCCTCAGCACCCAGAAGCTGGCTCACGGGCATGCCTTGGAATCTGAGGTTCTGACCCCTCGTGGTTTGCAGGTTAGGTTAGACCCCAGGAAAGATGGCCGGCTTTACTTCAGGGTTCGTTTCTGTAGAGTGTCCCTTTTAGGCCTGCCCGGATTGAAACAAAGCAGCCTTGTTTTGGATACAGTATCAATATTCAGTGAGGATTAGTACTTTGTTGTTGTTGATACACCCCTGCCAGCAATAAGGCAGCTGGCTGGATGTGGAAAAACACCAGACTGGAGTCTGCGACTTGGGTTCTCTGGCTGTGGAAGCTTGAGGAAACGTCTTTCTCTCTGTGGATCTCATTTTACTCATTATGGAAGGAGGGGGATGTGAACCTTAACCTTTGGAACTCTTTGAGACTTCGATAACAGCCGTGGACTTTCCTTCTCCCAAAATGAACACTCAATGGTTTGGCCAACACTTCAGGACCCCCCCTGAAGCCCACGAGATCAAGCGCTGTACCTGTAAGGCCCTTCCCAGCCGACTTCCGCTTTACGTCCCCCCATTTATGTACCTCCACCTTCAACAGGGCCTTTGCACATGCTGCCCCTGCACAAAGTGCTGTTCACCCCTTTGTTTGGTCGATTCCTGCTCACCCTCTGAGTGTCACCCTTCCCTGACCTCTGAGATTAGATTAGGTTGCCCTGCTAGACATGCTTCCCTTACCCTGAACCTCTCAGCACATGTTATCTGACTCTCCCTAAGCTCTGTGTTGGTATTTATTAGGTGAACCCCTGAGGTGGCTCCGACCGCACATTCTGTGGTTGATGTGTGACTGTGCGAGCATGTTAGAAGAAAATACCAATCTGTGCTCTGTGCTTCCTGTGGCACTTTGCACAAGATGTGTTTTTTTTTTTTTGTTTTGTTTTGTTTTGTTTTTTTTCTTTGGCTGATTTCCTCTGGGGCTGGGCAGGGAAGTCACTTCAAAGCAGGGCCTAGAGGGCCCAGAAGACTGGCTCCCAGACTTTCTGCCTCAGTGCCCTGCTGAGCCTGACCTCCAGGCTGGTCCTTCCCCTTTGTTTATGTTCTGGGCTGAGCTGCAGCTCCCACTTGGAGCCTTCCCACAGTGCCTGGTGCTTCCTCATATTGTTGTATTTTTCTCCAGGGGGGAAGTGACCAACATCAGACTTTCCTCCGAGCAGACAGAGCCCACGCACAAAGCCTCGCGTCAGCTGCCGGGCACCTGCCTCCGTCTCCTGGCCCCTTGGGGGAGGTGAATGTGCACTTTACAGCCGTCACTTGCCTTTCCCCGTGATTTGTCTCTTAATTTCCCTCCAGGAGTGTTCATGCCCTGCAGGAAATCCAGCAGCGCCTTGTGTGGAGGGGAGGGTTCTCTGTAAGATGCTTCAGAACCTCGGCAGCCACAGCATTACCTCCCTGCTTTAGGTCGCTTTCCACATTCTGAGGTGTTGTTTTGATAGTTCAAACATCATAGGTGAAATTTTATTTGCGCTAAAGAACTGAGTTGTCTGCCAGAATGTTGCAGCACGTTTCCTCTGATATGGGGGGAAAACAAAAAACAAAAAGCAAAAAAAAAAAAAAAAAACCCTTGTGCAGGTAAATACGTTTTCTTTAATATATCTGAAGCTGGGTGTTTATAGATTTTAATAAAATAATAAAAACAACTATCCTTTAAGAGTATCTGCTACGTGCCAGGCACTTTTTCAAGATCATATTTAACTTTTCCGCTGCCCTGTGAAGTAGGCGGCATCATTGTACACATCTTACATAAGTGAAAAACTCAGGACCAGAGAGGTTAGGTTCCTGTCCCAAAGTTGCCCAGCTGAAAGTGCTCACAGAGATTCAAACCAGGCCCGCTGTCCTGCAGGGCCAGCACCTTCCAACTGCCCTCCTTCCTCTTCCAGTCATGAGGAAATGGGTACTGGGATTTCCTAGGCAAGGATACAGATGGAACTCCACTCTCTCACCATGTGGTGGCCCTGATCCCCTCCCCACCCCCACCCCATCTGTAGTGCAGGGGAGGAGCTTGGTGGGCCCTGCCCTTCTGTGAGTGATTTGGGCTGCCGTAGTAATGCCTCAATACTGAACATGTGGTCACATAGAGTCTGATTATGTGGTACGTGCGTCCACGGCATCCCTGAAGCATTTGTGTGAAACAAGGAGCCACAGCGTATTGGCCGTGCGGTGAATGCTCTATTTCTGGTAGCGATGCGTTGTCCATTCAGCTCATCTGTTAGAGTCCCGTGTTGCCTCCCTAACGTGCGGACCAGAGGTGGGTCACTGGCCACATTCGTAAGAAAATGCATCCCAAGTTAGAAACAGTTGACTTACTGATGAGCCTTACAAATGAACTAGAAATTTGCTTGAGAGAACAACTTTGAAATGAGGACCCTGTGGTCCAGCTGCTTCTCAAGGAATCATGACCTCCCCTAATGATTCAAATGTCAACTTTCTGGGCATGGGGGAAGGTAACGAGAATGGCCTGTCGTTAGGAATAACTCATTAAAGCTCAGCCTGGAAAATGTTTCTGATGGCGCACCCAAACTCGGTCCATTTCTGACTTTCAGCTTCTTGGTCACCTGATTGCCCACTCCTCCCCCAGGAAAAGGCAGCGTGGAAAGTGTTTGGAAATACAGTTCACTCTGAGGCCGCTACCGTGCCGATGAGTAATAGAGCGTCAAAGGAAGGCCGTGGAAGAGCTTCCTAATATAGACTGACCGGTTACGGGACCCGCCGGTAGGGCGATAACAAGCCTTTCCTTCTGGTTTCCTCCCCGGGAGTGAAGGGAGTTTGAAAGGCGGGAGGCAAAGACCTCTCAGAGCAGAAATCAGGTTTTTCCTGCAAGAGTGTGCCAGGGCTCGCTGCTGGGTGATTGGGATGTCTGAGAGATGAAGCCCCTTTCAGCCGGTGACTTGGTCCTCAGTCGCTGCTCAGCGAAGACACCTGGGCTTGGGAGAACCCTCTGAGCCCCTGGCTTTAGAATGGGCAATGCTGCTGAAAAACAGAAGCCCCGGAGACGAAGCCGTCTGTGCCCCTGGAAACAAGGTAAGGACGCCCTGGGCCTCGTCTCCAGGAGGAAGGAGGCAGCCTTCATTGGGATATTTTGGCTCAGAACCAGAGCTGAAACTGCTTGGGAAACACCTTCCACACTAAAAAGCACTCAGTGCAGCATAGTCCAGTCTAAAGAAAATTAACCGTCCTAAGGAATAAAACGATTCGTATGTCAATATGACGTCACAACTCGGCCGAGAACGTAGCTCACCTTGAGGTTTGTGTTCCCGTGCAGCAGGTGTGCTGATTGAAAATTTTAAGCTTTAAGAAATATGCCGGATAAAAATGTTGATATCCGGGAGTTTGAATCTTTTGGAACGGTTTGGTGAGAGAATGTTAACAGCTTTTGAATATACAACATTTTTCTCCCATAGACTCCAAAGTACTTTCCATAAGAAACCTCATGCTTACCCGTCCCAGACACCCGTGATGCGGGCCCACGTCTGCTCACGCCTGCCCTGTGCCTTTCAAGGGCCCTGTGTCAGTGTCCACTTTAAGGAGGAGGAGGTCCGTGGGCCACAGGCACTGCCACAGAGCACTTGGGCCTGGGGGCCCTTTGAACCGTGGCCCCGGGCACCTTGGTCCTCCAGCGCATCTGACTGCTGTTTTCACTGTGATCAACCCCTCAGACCAGCCGCTGGCCCCCAGGATTTCGGGTCGTGGCTCTTTTACCTCCACTCTGCAAAAAATGGAGGTAACATCTGACCAGCAGCAAGACTGTGTGATTGCAGCTGTATCCGTGGGTATGTGTTTATGCAGAAAATACAACCTGGGAGAAAATACACAGAAAGGTTGACGGTAGTTGTCTTTCGTGGTCAGGTTATGGGTTATTTATTTTTCTTTTTAAAAGGGAAAACTAGGTAGGCTGCTAACGTAATGTCAAGTTCCAGCCTCTCTGGCTTTATACCACTCATTCTGTGTCCAGCATGTTACTGTGAAAGCAGTCCTCCCTAGTGGCCTTTGATCGGGTCTGGGTCTGAACAAAACGGTGATAAAAGACATTTGGGGGACAGCTCAGGAAACTTGAATATGAGCTGGGTAGTAGATGGCACCTGGGGACTGTTGCTAGCTTCATTATGTGTAATAGTGGTAAGGAGTCATGTAGGAGAAAGTCCTTTTTTGGGGGGTAGTCATGCTAAAGTACTTAGGGGCAGAGTTTTGTGGCCTATAATTTTACTCCAAGATGGCGCAGGTGAAGGAGTGCATGTGTACATACCTGGAAGCAAAGTAGGACAAGTGTAAGGAGTGTTAGAATCCAAGTAATGGACGGGTGAGGTTTGCTATACTCTTGTTAATGGATTTTTACTCATTGTGGGGGAACCATTGAAAAAACGGTTGCTGGTCACGCCGTAGTGCGGTACCCTTCCGAAGCACGAGTCTTAGCAGTCGCGGGTATTCACTGAGGTGGGTCGGGATCCCCCGCTCTTGCTCAGGGCCACGTCTCAGGGCTGGTATCTCTGGCTGCCAACAGGAAGATCGTCGTAAAAATCCGTTAACCCAGAGGCACAGCTTTTATAGCGGGAATTTAACGTATTTGTTTTCAGATCGTCTCTGGTTTTCCTGAGAAAGATGTAGAAGAGTTAAGACTTCTTAAGATTTCCACTGGAAGCAGCTGGGTTCCCCGCCTGTGTTGCATTTTGCAGTTTGTGTGTTTGTGTCCGGTAGTTTCCATGAGAGGGGTGTGGGGGCGCCATGCTGGTGGGCACTGCAGGGCCCGCGGCCGGCTGGGCGGAGAGGAACAGCCGCTCCCTGCCCCGGTTTCTGTCTGCCTGGACCCTGCTGGCCAGGAGCACGTCTTTGCCAGTGTCGGGTGCGTTTGTCTGTGCAGCTTAGACCAGGGAGAGCAGTGCCTCTCCCTGATCCAGAGTCCGGCCGCGCCTGCCAAGGACCCACAGGAGCAAGGGTGGGGGGCAGTCCTTCCCCGTTGCTCGTCTTTGTCTTTAAAGGTCGTTGATGTTTTGGAAACGGGATTTTCGAACCGGATCGAGTGAGTCCCAGGCACCACTGTGACCCTGATCTGCATGCATTTTCCGCGGTCCACGCTCACCGTGGCTGTGAAGTCTCGGTGGATGACTGGGGACTCCAGGCTCCACGGCAGAGCAGGATGGTGTCCGTGTCTGCTTTGGGGGCAAGGGAACGGGGAAACGCGTGTTTGTGTGCGTTTGGTACAAACAGCCTAGGCTGCCCCTGACTTCTCCAGCCCGTCTGTGGCCCAGCCGTGGCAGGGGCTCCGGGGAATACAGACTTTAACCAGAGCCAGACATGTGTGATTAGGAAGGTCGAGCTCAGAGTACATTCTGAAAGCAAATTTAAAGGGAATCACTATCTGCCCTTTAGATCGTTTACATTTCTGTTTCCAGGTTGTACGCCTGGAAAGTTGAAAAATCAAGTGACAGGATATTAGTGCAAGAAACACAAATCTTACCCCCTCTGCCAGCTGTCCCCCTAAAGAGCATTTTACACCTGGCAGAGAGACGTCTAAGGATTTTAAACAGTGTGCAGCGCACAGCCTTTGAGGGGACCAGCATTATACCCTGTCTTATTCTTGTCTTTCTAATGGCTCTCAGAACCCCGAACATAAGGATCAAACAGTACTGCTTGCTTTTTTTGCAGTGCTGGGTGCTTGCAGTGGTTGACAGATGTGAGTTATTTGCAGTCCCATAGTGAGTTCTAGCAGGCCCCCATACACACACGCGTGTGCACACACACACACACACACACACACACACACATACACACACACGCAATGGGAGGTAGGATAAGGCAGTGGCTTCCGGTGTGATCCTAAGAGTTCCAGCCAGCGAGAGCTGCACCCCACGCTTGCCATCTGACCTTGAACAAGGGGATTTTGTAATCCCACGTGGCCTCATTCCCTCACTGCCCTTCCCTCCCACGGTTTCTCCACATGACGGTGCCTTCCTGTGTTATTTCCTTACAGCCCTCCCCGCAGGTACTTTTTTTATTGATCTGTTTTATACACTGATTGTAAACCCCCTGAAGGCTCTCTGTTGGGACCCTTGTTCTGTCTCCCACACTGGTGGAGGGGTGTCACTTGATGGCTTCCATGAGTGCGTTTGGTGACAAAACTCCCACTGCCTGGCTGCTGCGTTACCATGGGTAGAAAGGAGGTATGAAAGGCGGAGCCCGGGCCCTGGTACAGAGTAGGTGCTCAGTAAATGGTAGCCACCGATGCTGGCCTGTGTGCTGGTTACGGGGACCTGGAGGTGTTCATTCTTTGCCTTCCTGCTAAAGTGGAGACATCGGGGGGTGAAAATAGGTACATCTTCCTCTATCCCACGGCGATTCTGAATTTACAGAGTAAATCTATTGAGGATTGTTCACAGTGCAAAAGATTGCTTCACCAAAAGCACTCAAATCATAGTGAATATTTGTTGCTGATTCATTGACCGAAACAGCTGGTGAAACCTTCCATCTAGAGCTAAATTGAACTTTTAAAATGCGCCTATAATCCTGCCCTGTCAGAAGACTCGTTCGTTCATTCGTTCATTCTTCCTTTTTAAGAATTAATTTGAAGAGTTGCTTGCAGTGGTCGTCTTGGCTTTGGGGAGTATAACGCAGGCACGAGTTTCCTTGGGAATTAAACATTGCAGCAGTCATTGCAAATGGAATTGTTATCTCCTTCAGAAATCCCAGCAGCTCAGGGCCATACCAGCGTGGTAAATGGAAAATGTTTGATGATTTGCATGTTTGTACTCAGCTGGGTGTGAGTGAATGAAATTAACACTCTCCGTGGAAGCCCTGACTATGTATAAAAAGTGTCTTTCCCCTGGGGGGATGGGACCCGGAGGGGGGGGGGTGCTTGCGGAGCTGGGAAGGCGATTGGCTGGCTGAGGTGGGGGTGGAGGTAGGGAGTCCGGGACTTGTCGCTGATTCCACATGCTCCCTGGTCCCCGGGCTGTAGGGGCAACTGGTTGGATTCCAGTCCGCAACGGTGGTTAGACTTGCCACTCCAAGCTAGGTAGTGAAGAAGCGTCTCAGGCCCCGGACACCTTTGTGCCAGGCAGTTATACTGGTGGCTTTTCTGGCCAGAGCAGAAGCCGGCCCACCTCCCACCATCCATTTTCTGGCCTTTCTTCCATTGCTTTGGGACCACAGTGGTGCCTGTGTCAGCCTCTTGGGCAAGCACTGGGTGCTACGTTCAGGCCACCAGGCTCAGTGCCTTCTAGCTGAGGGAGGCCAGCCACGTGACCTCACACTTCCAAGCCCGATCCTGGTCTCTACGTGAGATTAATAATAACACCTACTCGAGGGACCGTTGAGAGAAGTAGATGAGGTAATTCACGTAAGGGGGTTACAGCCCTTAGCAGGCAGTGAGCACGTAATGAATGATAGTCCTTCTTCTTATCATACATCCACGGATATGGATCATGGGCCTGGCTCTGTACAGCCCCAGCTAGCAGTGTGTCTGACAATTCTGCCTGTTTCCTTCTCTCAGTGTGAGAGATCACAGGTCAGGTGATCGCAGAGGTGCTGGTGAGGTCTGTGAGTCAGCGACCGCCCGCACTGGCCCTTGCCGTCCCTATCTGCAAGCTCTCTGGGTGTTCAGTGTCCGGAGAAGGCTTCCGTTGTGCTCAGCCCTGGGGGCACAGGGGGCTTTTGTGGCGTTGCGTTTCTCTGAAAATGGTTATTGTGGGACCCAACACAAGTGAACTATTCCTTGTTAACTAGAATATGAAAGTAATCAGCACAGTCCATCTTCCTATTCTGAGTACTGTCACATTGCGGTGTTTTTCCATAACTGCATCGTGGCTAGGAGTGTGGACTATGGAGCCTAGGTGCCGGGGCCGAACCCTTGCTCCTCATCATGCTGCTTGGCTTATTGTGATCTTAGTGAACTTCGAGACCTCAGTTTTCTCATCTGTAAATCATACCTGTAAAGTGCTTACAACAGCTCCTGGCACATAGTGTTTATCGTTGGTGGTATTTTTAGGTTGCAGACAGAGGAATTACATTTTACTTTAATGGAAAAGGTGTTACGTTATTAAGGAAAAGATTGGGAAAAATGGACCAAATGCAAAGAAGAAAGTGCATGTTGAGCGTCTAAAGGGCCTGAAAGAGAGCAGAAGTGTTAGCTCCGACTGGTAATCTTTTCCAGAGCGGCTGCCTGTGCATGCATAGTTTTCATAGAGTTGTAACCATGTGCAAATCATTTTTTTATTTCATGCCTCTGTGTGGTCTTCGTAACTACTGTAATGACTGTACCATTCCATTATGTTAATATTCCATAACGTGTTAAATCATTTACCTGCTGCTGAGTATTGTAGTTATTTCCCCTTTTTGCTGTTATAAGCAAGGCAACAATAAGTAGCTTCATTCATACGTATTTGTGATTCTTTTGGATGATTTTATTTCCTTAAGGTGAGGTCCCAGTGTAAACTTCCCAAGCCAAGCTTGTAGGAGATTAGCTTTAAGGCTCTAAGGGACATATCTGTCAACATTGTCACGAGTGATGCACAAGTTTATCCATTAGCCACAAGCCCATCAGCACTGAGTATTATCATTTTGGAATTGTTTCTTTTGTAAAACTTAGATTGTATTTACTCATGCAGAGTGGTGAGTTACCTAAAGGCAAGGGGTTCAGAGAAGGGCGTGGGAGTTCGAAACGCATTATCAGTTTAAGAATCTGTTTTTAAGATTCTGTGTTCTCATTGTCCTTTGCATGGAACTTGACTCAATCTCATTCAGGTGCTAAGTTTCATGGAAGAGAGGCGTGAGATTTTGGGTTAAGGATAGCCGTTTACCATCACAGCTTTTTGTCTTTTGCCTCCCAGGGAGGAGTGAGTATTAAATAACTCGGTTTCCTCATGTGAAAGGGAAAGAGTGAGCCCACAAGTGTTGTTAACACGGTTCGTGTAATGATTACCGTTAGGCCGCGTGACGAATGACCCAACCCCTCCTCCTCTCCGCTTCTGTAGGGCTCTCTCCGAACCTCCGAGAACCGTTTTCCCCAACTGCTTGCCTGTGATGGGCTGCCAGCTCAGTTGTTACTCGGACGGGTATGTTGCTGTCAAACTGTGCTGCCACGGAGGTTTGAGTCAACAGGTGCAGGCCTCGGGTGTTAGGGTAAATGTAGTGGACGAAGGTGATGCCTGTTCATTGGCGAGGCTCTAAGCCACGGCTGGACGTGACCATAGGTAGGCTTCAGGATGGGAGAAAAGAAATTTACGAAGCAGCGGTTATTTACCATGCTAATGGAGTCACAGATGTCTTCAGCTAGAAGAGAATGATAAAAAAAAAAAATTCCTAAATGATCCCCTAATTTAACTAATGAAGAAATTGAGGCTTACAGAAGTGAAGTGACTTGTCTGAAGTCCTGCAGCTAGTTTGTGGCTTAGGGTCTCCTGTGCTAGGGTAGTAATATACCAATGGTGTAGTAATGTACATAATAAAGATGCAAAACAATACAACGTATTGTGTATGTTATGATTACATATTTTGTACTTATGTTATATATTTACAAGCTGTAGCATATGTTGTGTCCAGTACGTTGTATATGTGATACGTTATATATCGCATCTATCATATATACAGTATACGATATAACGCAGTAACATATGTAACGATATAATAGTAACGGGTTGGGGTATAACGTTACAGTGATGCTGATGGCTTCCTTTATGCCAGGTGTGGTACTAGAAGATCTGCATACATAGTGGGCTCTTCCATAAGTCAGTTTTTTGTGAAGTGAAAGATCAGATGTAGGAAATGGAAACGTAAGTGTGAAGGAATTTTTCTCGTGAGAAGTGTGGGGTGTTGTTTTGGGTGGGGTAAGAAAAGGGAAGGAAACTTCGCTTTGTCATCAGATATTTCCAAATTTAGAACAATATCTATCCCTAGCCGTTGGCTTTACGGTATGCTTTACCCTGGGAACAGGCACACAATACGCTTCCGTGTTTGACCACGTCTTTCCCAGCTGTGGGGAGGGTGTCACCATTGCTTTAGATAATAACAATGGCCAGTGGCCACTTTAAATCTAATTACACTTTGGCAATTGCTTATAGGGCACTTGATTTCAGAAGTCACTTCATGCTGAAATACCAGATGGCTGTTTCTGGAGACTCTGTGGACCACAGCCGAGGAGGCTCATCTAGGTCACGGATGGGTCAGTTTCTTAAAGGGCCAGATAGCGACTCTTGTAGACCTGGCAGGGCCAAAGAGGCATGTAGGTGCTTACATAACCAGCTAAAATGAAACTGTTTCAAAGTGTGAAAACCAAATTCTTTGCTTGCAGGCTATAAATAAGCAACCTGCACCAACAACCAGGAGGCTGGCGGGATTGGGGCTACAGGCAGAAGTTTGCCAACCCCTGGTCTGTGGGGTCTTTTTCGGTTTGGGTGCTCTCTTCTGTCGTCATTATGCCTCTGGTGCTCTGAAAGAGGTCGTTCGCCAGTTACAAAAAAAAAAAAAATTCAAATTTTCAGGTCAGAAGAAGACTGAAATATCATCTT